CGGTCGTTCTTCCCCAAGTTCGTTAGAAAGATTGTAGATGGTGATAATATTCGCCCGAGTTGCCTGGTGGATATAGTTAGTGGTCGGTCGGGCAAGTTTGCCGGGCAGCCCGTATTGAGGAACAACAGCCACAGCCAAGTTCGACTTCCCTTCGCTTTTCCCTCCCGGTCTATCTCTGGAAATACCATCGGAGATCAAATTGTCTCTTTCCTGTTTTCTCTCTGAAATCTTTGCTCTCCATGTGATCAGCCCGCTGACCGGACCCCTCGGGTCTGGGCAAGGAATCACTGCTTTGGATGGCCTTCGCCCCCCATTTGAGTCATGGCGATGGAGGGATTTGACCGGTTGGGCGACACGGTGTGCAGTGGTCCGCTTGGATTGGCAGACGACTTGGGACGGCCCTTCTTCGCGGGACCCATATAAACCGACCGTCTCTCCTCAACAGCCTTAAAAGAATCCCTCCAGGAAGAATATCGTGCACGGAGTCCCGTTTGACAGACGCTAAAGGACTGCAGCTTGCACCCTGTCCATCACCGAGCCCCGCTACCCCACGTTTGTGCTCCATTCTTCCCTTCCCTCGACTTCTCCGGCCCTTTCGCTCTTCTTCCTGCTAACTCGCCTCCCTCCGTCAACAGTCGCCGCAACCAACACAATGCCTCCCATTATCCACTGCGTCCGTCACGCCCAGGTACGCCTATATATCCGCAGCTTCTCTCCCCGATCGACGCGGTCGCTAACAATTTCTCTCAGGGCGAGCACAACCTCTGCGTCGCCAACCACGTCATCCCCGACCCCCTTCTCACCGATCTCGGCAACGAACAATGTCGTAAACTCCGCGATAGCTTTCCTCGCCACACTCAGGTCGACCTTGTCACAGCCTCCCCGCTCCGTCGCACTATCTACACGGCCCTGCAGAGTTTCGAGCCCGTGTTCCAGTCACACCCAGATATGAAGATGATCGCTCTTCCTGATGCCCAGGAGACGAGTGATGTGGCTTGCGACACGGGAAGCGACCCGGAGGTACTACGCAAGGAGATGGAGGAGAAGAACGTCCCGATTGATTTGGGGTTGGTGCATGATGGTTGGAACAACAAGGTGGGTTGTTATTCTATTCCAAGTGGCGATAGGTTCGGTTCAGCTGACCAGTGGCCTGGTACAACCATATAGCAAGGCAAATATGCACCTACTCACAAGGCCATCAAGGAGCGGGCGCGGGCAGCCCGCCGCTGGCTGAAGGCGAGACCGGAGAAGGAGATTGTGATTGTCACCCACGGAGGTTTCCTGCATTACTTCACCGAGGATTGGGAGGATAGCAGCCAGTACCAGGGTATGTCTTTGAAATACCGCATGTGTCAAGTGTAGACAAAGGCTCATGATGAAATAGGAACCGGATGGGTCAACACCGAGTACCGGACGTACGAGTTCACAAAGGAAGTCCACACAGATGACCTCGAGGGATATGAGCTGGACGGAGACAATGCATCTCTGGTGGAGACGGTTGAATCGCGTGAGCGACGCGGGAAGTCTGGACCTATGCCAGACCGCGAGCAGCAGAAGACACTGTACGAGAAAGGTACTCAGGGATGGGACGACCAAGGCTTGCAGCTGAGTATTGCAGAGCGGGAGGCGGCCAAGGTGCCGGAAGGTACAGAGGTGAATGGTGTTCGAGTATAGATTCCCTTGTTGCCAGTTCTTTGTAGAGTATAGAGCGTGATGTGGAGATGCCGATATACAGGTTTAGATCAAAGATCTGAAGCATTGGCTTATGAGTTGACCACATTGCTCTTTGTCTTGCTTTTTTTTACCCATGATGTTGGAACAATGATTGTTGTCAGAAGCTGCACAATGAAGTGCATAGGTAATCGACTGCAGGTAGATCTATAAGAATGGTGATCGCATAGCTTTCATTCGAATGAATGGATGGCCTTTCAAAGACAATTTGATTCTTCTAATGATGTACAGAGCTTGTATCTCAAAGACATGCCGTGTCTTCTGTGGCATCGACATTAATCCACCGACATGCTTACTGACCATACTGGCTGCCATATCTTATTGATACGCCTCCCTCGAATTCTCCGAACCCAATAGTAGTGATCACTGATCCATCTCCAGACAACATCGAAGCGCATCACCGGTTAACCAGCACTATGTTTCTATGGGTCTCTCACAGTCATGCATAGAGCAATCTTGTTGCAAGCTCACGTTCAAAACATGCGTGTCGACCACATACGGCTCCACGTCACACCACAAAACCTAAACAACAAACAATTGGTATCTGCATCCAAACCTCTAGATTCCGAAGCATCATACTAATAGCCAAGAGCATTCGATGACTGCCCACGCGTCACCATACAGAGGTACGTCAGCGTTATCCGCTTGGCTAACGGACTCCAGGCCCCCAGCATGGACTCGCACCTCATCGTGGTGCTGGGGTCTAGTAGTCTGTGTTATACAGGCGAAGCAAAGACGAGTCCCATTGATGGTTGAGTATGGTTGTCTAAAGTGGATTGCTGTGCCTTGCTTGCTTGCTTGCTCCCGGGCCCATATAGCAATTCAGATGATTGATGTTGGATAGATATTCTGCATATCAAGGCATGAAAAATATCTGCCTGCAAGGCTTACTCTTTTCTTTTGCGAGAGAAGCTCGAAAGAGGCAGTGCGACTTGACCGACTAAGAGATAGTCCGGAGATCGGCAGCTTCGTCACCACCGGAGATCCTTCATGATTGGGACCCTTGAATGGGGTCTGCATACCATATGAAACTGCAAACCATCCGATGATGGCTGCCTACAGTACACTCCATTACTGCTGGGTACGCTGATCGCTGGTACTTTTCCGTACCGCCATGGATCTTCCCAGCTAAATTGCCTGCCAAGGCACATGGCAATACCGGGCGGTACCTGGGCGAGGGTGTTATTTATAGCGGTGGGGCAGTGCCCCGTACTTGTTCCGCTGCCTGAGGCCACACTAGGCCTCATCCTCGACGTCTTTCTTTCTTCTTTGGATCGCCCTTTCTTTCGTGCATCTCGCCTCGCATTTCTTATAAGACGAACCCAATGGCATTCGGACCACGGGTCGCGCAGAGATTCCCGTTGAATTAATCCATCCCGGCCCAGATCTAAAAATGCTAGACGAGAACCTTCCCAGTATGTCTCCCTTTCTTAGCATTACTCCCTGACTCCACTCCTCCCTGCTTGACGTCGCTTGCTAACCCGAGCAGCCTTCTATCTCAAGCACAACAAGCAATCCAAGCTTTGGAGCATCTATCTCTGCCAGCACGGAAACGATCCGGAACCTGTCTACTCCCTCCGCTACCCGGATCCTTCCTCCCCCTCCTCACAGAACCGCTATGCCTCCGCCCTCTACGACCCCTACGTCTCCGACATCCTCTTCGGCGAGGTCCTGATCATCCCGGAATGGACTCAACCTAGTCTCTCTGCGGAGGCCATCCGCCAGAATGGCGGCGTTCCGCCTCCGCCAGAACCTATTCTTCCTTCCCGCTTCACCATCAACCTCTACAACCCCGACCAGCAAGTGACGGTGCACTTCAAGCCCAAAACCTGGAACAGCCCTGCGACATGGACCTTCGAGATGCCCCAGCACAGCTTCCGACAGCCCTCCGCATCTACCCTCGACCGCACCCACCCTGACCCGGCTTCTGCTGATACCACCCCGAAACTGCGCTTCACCTGGCGCAAGGATAGCAAGCTGTCCAAAGACCTGACTTGTCTCCTGTCTGGCAAGACGACCACAATTCCGGAATCCAAGACGAAAAGCAAAGAGCCTGATATCACCGTATCCATCTTCAAGGGACTCCGCGAACTCACCCTCTACGAACCGAATCTCTACCGCGTGGAAATGGAAGACTTCAAAGGCCTCGAAGTCGTTCTCCTCCTTGGCGCAATTACTATCCGCGACGTATACTTTACTTCAATGAAAGACGCATTCCACGTCACCAAACCCGCCCACATGACGAGTACACCCTCCCCGACAAAGACAAACTCCAAGCCCCTCCCCTCTGTCCCAGCAGCATCAGGGGCATTAAACGCTGTCCAACCAAGGCCCGAGCCCCAACCGCAACCTCAACCACAAACGCAACCACCACAACAGCCGCCCGCTAAATCGAACCGCCAACGCGAAGAAGAGCGACGCACCCAGCAACTGCTCGAAGAAGAGGAAAAGGCGCGTCGCAGACGCAAGGCAGAGCGACAAGCGGAAATCGATCGGGAAACTCGCCGTCTCCAGATGCTCTACGGACAAGAAGAAGACCAAGTACGCAGACACAGACAGACGCCATCGCTGCCCCCTCGTCCCCAGCAGCCCGGACAAACCCTCCCCTTACGACCGGCTAACCAGCTCCATTACTCTTATCCTTATCAAGACGGTCGTCAACGGCCACAGGCAGGCCCGTACATGACTGCTCCGGGCTTGGATCCGCGACGCCAATCAGCCGTGAGATTTGCCTTGCCAGCGGAGACACCGGGACCGGCGGCATCGTCACCGGCATTACAGCCTAAGAAAAGTAGTTTCTTTCGATTACGACGTTCATCAGCTGATGAGGCGAAGCTGAGCAAGAAAAGGAGTTCGATGTTTTAGTTATGATTTTCTTCCTGTACATGTTTTTGATACCCAGCTTGCATTTCTTCTTGTACATAGATTTGTCCTTTTTTGCTCGGACTTCGCTTCTTTCAGTCAATATTAACTTCGATAGGTACGGGTGATGGAATTCAGTAACATTGTATTCATTTTCAATAAAGAATACCCTATTGTAGTAGCCACACAAGCTGCAGTAAAGTAGGAATGCCTCAACCATCAATCAATTCACCATAAAATACACAAAATACCAACTCCATGGTAAGCATATCAAACCGAGATCTAGTGACAAACCCGAACAAAGCTGGCGGCTACTCCCCAGCCTAAGATGACAAGGGTGTACCCATGTGATATCAAACCTTCCACAAAACCTAGTAGTTAGTACCTGAATGAAAACCTACCCACCTCTCAACCAACAACCCACCCCCCACCATCTCCCCTTTCATACACTCCAAACTAATGAAATCATCCAACAAACCCCGCCTCTACATCTCCCTCCACGCCCGCGGAGGCGGAATCCGTCCCAAGATGCCCGACAAAGAAGATACGTGAGTAGCCCAGCCCCAACACAATCCCTCCCTACCCTACTTACCCTACCCTCATCTCCTCCCCTACCCCCAACTACCCCAAACACATACATAAAACAAATAATTAATTAAATTATATAGGTATCACTGGTCCCTAACCATCCTCCCCAAACACAAGCACCTCTCCCCAAAAACCAAACCTATGGTCGTTGGAACGACCTACCACGTCCGCGACCTCCCCACCCCCATCCCCAGCACCACCGGCACAAGCACGGACATGATCTTCAAATGGACCTACGACGAGCGCAGTACCACACTCGACACGATGGTTCTTGTACGGATATTTATTGGGAAGGTGGTGGATCGGGAGAGGTTGGTTGAGATATTGAGGGGGGTTCCGGTTCCTGGTGGGGGAGGAGAGGGGGTAGAGGTAGAGGGAGAGGAAGGGTGGAATTGTGTTTCTTGGGTGAGGGGGGCCATAGAGAGAATTAGGGATGATGAGAATGAGGTTCTGGGAAAGGGGAGTGTGTTGGAGTGGAGGGTTGTTAGGGATGCGGCGATGGGGTTTGCGGGGAGGAAGATGGGGGAGGGGTGGTTTAGGAGTGATGGACCGGGTGGGAATGGGGATGGAGATGGGGGTAGGGTTGCGGTGTGGGATTTGGTGGGGGGGAGGGAAGTGGCTTAGGTTCTTAGGGTATATTGTCTATGTTCTGGGGATTATGTATTCGTCTAGATGGAAAGGAGTTTTATTTCATTGCTAGCCATTGCAGTTCTGCTTGTTCAGATTGACATTCCAACCAACTAAGTATATCCTACGTACTAGCACACTCAACCGGAGAATACCTCCACTTCTTACTAGCCAACGCCGCAACCAAATCATGATGAAGCATGGGCGTCTCGTCCGGGTCCTGCGGATCCTCATATTCCAATTCCATAGCCTCACATTTGGCCTCTAGCCCCCGTTCCATCGGCGGCCAGTAGCGTAGCGACTCATCCATGTCCCGCTGAACCTGCCTCATCTTCCTCAATTCCATGAGAATCTCACACAGGAACCGATAAGACCTGCGATGACACAGATCACGCTTAAGACCCTCCTCGCCATGTCTACTAGCATCATGATCCAGTATCTTCATGAACCTATCAAACGGAGGCTGCAACTCCTTCGGCTCAACATACGAGTAATTCGTACTATCCAATCCCATCCCCCTCGCCAGATAAACCAGCATATCATAATAAGGGTCCGGAATATCCACCACAGCCAGATTCCACGCGCAGAACAGCACAAGATTCTCCACGTATCTCGCCGGCACGGGCATCTTCACAGGGTAGTAATTCTCCTGCGGCATATCGCGCACCTTGACAATACGCCCCACCGGTAGACGTCTATCCGAAGTGAGCATGTAATACTGGTCATTCTTGCCCGGATTATCTAACGGAGGGTCAGGGAAACTCGGACATCGACTACTCTTCTTGTGAAGATGAATCTCTTGCACCCCGAACACTCCGTACTCGAAGCAGTATTCGCCCGGCGTGAGGGTTTTTCTTTCCTCGGGCGTGCGTGCGGAATAGGGCTTTCCGGTGTGGAAGGTACAGCTCAACACATGCGCGGCTAGTTGGATGTCTTTGTCGCGGACTACCCAGCCTGGTGTGTCCCATTTATCTTTGATGCCCATCATGAGATGCACGCCTTGGCCCCAGATGAAGTTGGGGATCTTGGCTTCGTCGAGTACTTTGCTCACCTCGATTTCGATTCGTGTGTTGCCCTCGAGGGGGTATTTGATTTCGGTTGTGGACATGCTGGCAGAGGTTGAGGATTGAGCTAACTAAGGTCTGGGGACTGGGTTTTGGTAGAGGATTGCCGGTGTAGGATGCATTGGGTTTATATACTGGTCGTCTGAGTTTGCTGGGTATATGTAGCTTCCGCGAGTTGCACAGCAAAGTAAGGAATGTTCCTGGGATTTGTTCAGCTTTGAATCTTCTGGTTACTATCGTGAGTAGACTCACAGGCTGGTTTGACTGAATCGCGTCGCGTAACGGATAAACGGACGGAGATTGCCTGTGATCGATATCATTCCGGAAAGTAGGTCGAGGCTAGGATAGTGTGGAGACGCACCTTGTTTGTAGAGGCATTCACCGGAGCTAGGCACTTCACCGGATCATTAGCTGCCTGTGCCTGAACTTCGGCCTTCCTTGTCTGACTCTTTCTCTTGAGGACCCTTGGACGATCTCAAGGATCTGAACCTATATGCTGATATCTTAAATTGTCTTTTCCTTTTGCATGGTGCATCACTTAGAAGGTATGTCGCCATGATGTTTAAATAAATAGGACCTCATACAAATTCTGTTAAAGAGAGATCAGTTATAACAACAATTCGTATTTCGAGTGACACATGATTTGAATGCTTTCCTTCTGTGCTCACTTTCATGGACCATTGCGGATATTTCTCTGCTTCAAGTGAGTTTTGGATCTCCTAAATATATTCCTCGCCATAAGAAATCTTTCTATCGTATCGACAACACTCTGTCAGTAGTGATAAACTAAGATAACGTCCTCCCCTCAACACCATCCACCGTGATATTAACCGGCAATATCTCCCCATCCTCATCAAAATACATCCGATCTATACAAACCACGCGATGATCCCGAGCCGTATCATTAACATACCGACGATGATAAACAATATAATAATCCTGTCCATCAGGCGTAAACACACTATTATGCCCCGTGCTCGTACCCACCACATCATTCCCCTGAAGAATCTTCTTTGGCGTACTCGAGAACGGCCCCGTCGGAGAATCAGCCGTGACATAACTGACTCCGTAAGAATTATCACCCCATCTATCCCAGCAACGAAGCTGCGTTAGCAAGCCCTTTTCATCCAAGAACACAGAAACCTAAGAAGGATCAACTCACCCCCCAACCGAAAACATATAATAATAAACCCCATTCCTCTTCAACATCCACGGCCCCTCCACATACCCCTCCGGAGTAATCTCCAAATAATCCCCCTTCAAACTAACCATATCCTCCCCCAACTCCACAACAACCGCATGACTCCACCCCCCAAAATACAACCAATTCCGACCATCATCATCCTGGAAGATCTGCGCATCGATTGCCTCTGCTCCATACACCGTGCCATTGACTAGTGGCTCACCGAGGACGTCTTCATAAGGACCCTCTGGCTTCCCCGTGGTTGATTTCGCAACACCGATACCGGTTCCATCACCAACGGAGAAATACATGAAATAGTCATATTCTTCTGCTGCTGCTGCTGCTGCTGCGTTGGCGGAGGAGCGGAGCTTCCGGCCCACGGACGGGGCCCAAGCGGCACGGTTCGTCGACCAAGGGATATTCGTGATGTTTAGGATGGTGGGGTGTTTGGTCCAAGTGAGGAGATCTGGGGAGCTGAAGGCGTCGAAGAAGGTTTGTTCGCTGTAGTAGGCTGAGTAGGTTGGGTAGATCCAGTACTGGGCGTTGAAGAGACGTGCTTCTGGGTCGGCGTACCAGCCTGGGAAGACGGGGTTGCCGGCTTTGATGACTGATGAGGTTGTGGTGGTGAGGAGGTTTTGTGGGAGGGGCTGTTTGGGGTGGGACATGGTGAGGGGGAAAAGGAAGGGGAGGATGGAGAGGTAGGTGGATGGGTTGTAGTGGTGTTTCATGGTGAGGGTGGGTGGATGGCATGAGGGGGCAGAGGGCGTGTCGAAGAGATGGAAATGGAGACGAGGTTGGGTATATAAGCAGGAAGGGGCGAGGATCGCTGCAGGAATGCGGGTGAGAATGCGGGGATGCGATACGCTTCATGACAAGGTCGGCTGATTGGACTAGTGGCTTGGTTCAGTTGAATATCGACAATCTCAAGGGACGCTGGCAGGGAAGCTGCAGGGTTAGTGCACTTGGCATCTGATCACTGTCATTTAAACCATCATGCAATTTCAGACTATTGGCTATGTACACACTTTAGCTAATACTCCAGTGACTCTTCGAGCAATCCCCGCAGCTCGGCCCTCTCTGCCTCCAACTCCTTGTTCAGCGTCGGTGCAAGTGCCAGCACTCGCTGCTGTGGAATCGTGCCCTCCACCAGGGAGTCGATGTCACCGGCCTTGAAGCCTAGATCCTTCAAGCCCCGTGGCTGATCGCCCAGCCGGACCAGGAAGTTGGCCAGTGCCTCACCCAAGACTTCACCAGCGCTTTCGCGCTTGACATTCGAGATGTCAACCCCAAACGCCTCCGCGGCCGCCAGATGCCGGTCTGGGTTGGAGGCAGCTGTGAATCGGAAAACAGCCGGCGCGGTCACTGCCACCGACACACCGTGGGGAATGATTGGGTGGTCCACAGAGTAACCTGCATGCTTATAGCCCGGGTTCTGGCTGGAAATAGGATAGCTCATGCCGTGGCAGAGATGAACGCCTGCGTTTCCGAACCCAACACCAGCCAGCGTAGCGGCCAGAAGCATCTGGGACTGCGCCTCAAAGTCGTCGGGATCCTTAACCGCCCGGGGGAGATACTTAACAGTACTCTTCAGCGCCTGCAGAGAGAAGATGTCGGAGATAGGGTTCGCACCCTGGTACGCGGGGCGGTTGATGGGATTAGTCGGACGAGGTGTCCGTTCATTGTACGGGATCGCCGTCCACGACTCCAGCGAGTGACAGAGCACATCCAAACCAGAGGAAGCATGAACCGCCGACGGCATGGTCCGTGTGTTGATCGGATCACAGATACCCAGAGTCGGCTTCAGATTCCGATGGGCAATACCAGTCTTGGCCTTCTTGGACACCAGGTCAAAGATGGCAGTTCCTGTAGTCTCCGAACCGGTACCTGCTGTGGTCGGCACAGCCACCAGAGGCTTCAGCGGCCGGTTAACAGGCAAACCCTTGCCCAGTGGCGCATTGACGAAGTCGAGGAAATCGGCATCGGGAAAGACGGTGTAGAGATTCATCAATTTGGCGGTGTCAATGACCGATCCACCGCCTGGGCCGTTAGCCGGATCAAGGGATGACCTGGGGACGATACTCACCTACGGCGAGGAAAGCGTCCGGGTTGTAAGGCTTGGCAAATGCAATTGCTTCCTTAACACTGTTATCATTAGCATTTAGCAATTGATGAAAGGCAATGCAATGGGAGACGAACGAGCTATCCTTGGGTTCAATCCGGACCTTGTCAAAGACGGTGAACTCAATCCCCTCACGCGATAGACCTTCCACCGCCTGTTTCATGGCATCCAGCTTGGCGACATTTTCGTCCGTCACAATGCACACCCGCTTTGCCTTCATGTTGGCAAAGTCCATGCCAACTTCTTTCGTGGCTCCAGGTCCAAAACGAATGCTGGAGGCGGCCATTTCAAACGCGTATTCCTTTTGACGGGAGGGGTCGACCGGGGTGGCCATATGACGACGCACATGGTCGGATAGTGTGGGGGAGCGATGGTGATGATGGTGATTGGGATTGGAATGACAGGGACATGATGGAGGATGAGTGTATTGGACGGTACGCAGCAGATTGCGGGCTCTACTGGCGGCCGAAGGGGCGACGCGAACGGCGCTGACCATAATGCGGGGTTGTAGACAGGCAAGAGGTGAGTGGAGAGGTATAGAGCAGAAGAGAAGCGATTGAAGTCCAAGTAAAGACCAGTAATTGAAGAGAAGATGAAGAGGGAAGAGGGACGAAGAAGAAAGAAGAGTAAGACACAGGGAGAGAACAGGAGGTAAAAGAAGCAGCCGAGGAGCAAAGCTGGAGATGGAGACCAAATGCGGGGATTCTCGCTCGGACAGAAGACCGACTCCAAAGCTTCCCTCTCAGCCTCCAGATCTTCTTGCCCTTTCAATTGTCACTCTCCACCGACAATGCAGACGATCGCATGGGGACGACTATCCTAATTCGCTGCCGGCACCGAATGATGCAACTGGCTTGCCATCGCCCAAAATTAAGAATCAAAAAGGTTGCTGTCCCTTGGATCGGACATGGCGATACCCAAAAGGGAAGTACCGAGGTCCACTCCCCATTCGGCGATTGACATCCATCTCGGTGATCTCTACCAAGTAGTACTATATTGCTATCATATCACCAATCCACCATACTTGTTCCTGCTGTAGAATTTCCTCAGTATACACAACGTAGCTTGAGCCCTCCGACCCTCTACGGACTCGTCAGCCGACATACGCACTCCCCTTCACCCCAGCCTGAGCTAAGGCCTCCGACCAGTTCCCGTCCACCAATGAATGGCATTCCGCAGCCCATCATCTTCCGCAACCCGTGGGCCTAATGAATTAGCAATAGTTACCTTATCGACCTGGAGACTTCCGGTGCACAGGCAATGTCATCGGCAGGGAAACTCCGCGGGGTTTGTGCCTGACAGTCAGACTCTCTGCAGTCGATCCTTCAACTACTGCAGACCCCCAATAAACTAACTCATCCTCCACCATCATCACCCACCACCACTTCCACAAAAGCCACACCCTCACCACCACCACCATGACACGAACATCACCTAACTCCTTCCAACAGCTAGAAAAGGTAAGCGTTACAACCACCAAGCCCTAGCAACATTCCCATACAGAACCACCGCTAACCACCCCAGCTCGGCGAAGGCACCTACGCCACGGTACCCCAACCCACTCCCCACACCATCAATCCCCTCCACCACCACCTAACAGCCCTGAACTAGGTCTTCAAAGGCCGCAACACCAAAACCGGCGAGCTCGTGGCCCTCAAAGAAATCGCCCTCGACACAGAAGAAGGCACACCCTCGACCGCGATCCGCGAGATCTCTCTCATGAAAGAGCTCCACCACGAGAACATCCTCCGCCTCCACGATGTCATCCACTCCGAGAACCGCCTCATGCTCGTCTTCGAATACATGGACAAAGACCTAAAGCGCTACATGGACACCAACGGCGGGCAGCTCGAACCCTCCATCATCAAATCCTTCGCAAACCAACTCATCTGCGGCGTCGCCTTCTGCCACGAGAACCGCATCCTCCACCGCGATCTCAAGCCCCAAAACCTCCTAGTCAACCATAAGGGCCAGCTCAAACTCGCAGACTTCGGTCTCGCCCGCGCATTCGGCATCCCGGTGAACACCTTCTCCAACGAGGTTGTCACGCTGTGGTACCGCGCGCCAGACGTATTACTAGGAAGTCGAAGCTACAGCACGAGCATCGACATCTGGTCCATTGGATGCATCATCGCGGAGATGTCTATGGGTCGGGCGTTGTTCCCGGGGTCGAATAACGAGGACCAATTGCAGAAGATTTTCAAGGTCATGGGAACCCCGTGTGAGGCGTCGTGGAGGGGGGTGTCGAGGTTGCCTGAGTATCGCACGGATTTCCCACTGTATGTGGAGCAGGACTTGTGGGGACTGATGCCTAGGATGGAAGAAGGGGGGATGGGACTTGTCAGGGCGATGTTGAAGTTACAGCCTGAGATGAGGATTAGTGCTGTGGATGCGTTGAGTTTTGCTTGGTTTACTGGTGGTCAGCTCCATGTTGAGGAGGTGCGTGCTATCTTCTCAGGGCGGTTCAGGGACAGGGTGGCTGGTGATGGGGTTGTCTGATGGGGTGTTGTTCGGTCATGCTAGGGGGAAACTAAAGCGGGGGATCTTCAACTCCAGGGTAATTTGCAAGTAAGGGAGGGAGCTGAAACATTGGGGAAAGGGGAATTTGGGGTCAGGAGGCAGGAAGTAGGAGTAACTGGGAGCTAGGTCGTGGACTTGCAGTTTTTCGAGATCGGTCATTGAAGTCTTCTAACATCAAGAGGCTAATTAATGCGACCATGTTTTGCTTGTCGTCCCCTTCAGCTTATACACACTAATATGCAAAGAAGCAAGTACTAAGATATGAGCATAGAATTGTGCATTAATAAATCACTAACTATATACATCTCACGAATATTATAAAGATTCCTCAATCGTAACATAAGACATGCAGAAAAGATTAGAGCCATTACATGACCACCACGTTGATCCTCACACATGACAATAAGACTTAGATTTTGACATTGCTGGACAGCAGTAGTTAGGAGTAACTACCTCAAGGCTTCTCATGCTCAGCATGCACCTCATGGCCAGCGGAAATGGTGGTCTGGGTTCCGCAGGGATCAAAGAGGGTTCGGTCGGAAGAAGAGAAGCCCTCTTCCGACGAGTTGGTTGATCCCTTTCCAGGCTCCTGGTCGGAGTACCGGAGTCGAGACCAGAGCTTGACGTTGAATAGTGGCCGGATGTGAGACATGCATGCTGCTGTGATTCCTACTGCTGCCTCCATGCATGTCCAGACGACGACGGGGACTTGGTTGTCTAGGGGATTCATTAGCGCTTTGATGTATGGGTAGAGGCACGATGATGTACTCACAGGTGATATCTGGACCGGCTTGTGTCAGCTGGATCATTGCGACCAGGCGCAAGATGTCGAAGATCAGGGTCCTGGGTTAGGTTAGTACTAGACACTCTTGCTTTTTATGAAGTGGGGGTCATACAGAATTCCGACCAGGAATACTCCCGACAGCAACAACCGCTGAGTCTTGGAGATGGGTAGTTCCCAGACGCTTTTCAGCGGCATAATGAGCAGAACAACGTCCGTGAGAATGTTGGGGATCTGCTGGCCGTAGTAGTAGCCCACGGTGTTGACGCAGTGTCCCGGGACCGGGCGATCCCAGAATTTCTGAACAGGCACACAGTTCAGGACACCGCCGATGCTGATGCTCACGGCCCAGAGAACAACAATTACGGAAACGATGTTGGCTGCGATTTTCATGCTTCTAGCAGCAAATAGCCTCTTGTAGACTGCCAAGATAGACAGCTTGATGAACATGACGCAGAGAGTGTAAACGAAGGAGTTGGACCATCCGATCTGCTCATGATTAGTGATCACCATGGGAGGGGGATTTGTAGACACGAACCTTAAAGTAAACCGTCAGGTTCTTTTGCGGGATCATGTTTATGTGACATCCGAGGCCGTTCCATAGAACTGTAACGGTTAGACATATCGTGGGCATCCTTGGGTGAGGATAACTTACGGATTGTGACACCGATCGAACAGCCATATTTGAAGAGCTTGAGGCACAAGTTAGCATGAATCCCAGGTAAGATACAAGTGATGGCCATACCAAAGCTATTATCATAAGATAGTCATCCAAGTACAGCCGCGACCCAGTGATCTTTCTCGCGAGAAGACGTAGGGCCACGGCAACCGTGGACATAATAAAGGCAAAATAAAGTGCAATAATGGTAGACCGACGAAGGTTCTCATTGGGGTGCTGGAAGTCACCCTCGGTGCCTCCACCTGACACTTGTTCTAGCGACATTATGGGCACAGACAAGGTTAGAGTATGGGTCGGTAATGACTGCAAGTAATTGATAGTTCGTGGCTGTTGGTATTTGGAATCGAGGCAAACTGCAGACCAACGAACTCATTAAGTACTTTCTGACAGGACTATTTTTGGGTAGGGAGAAGGGCTGGTTGTTAAGGGACGTTGGATGTATCCTGATCTGCATGGGGCTGCACATTCGGTGTCTATACATCACATCCTGTTCCACGGCAGAGCCAATGACAGGCCAGCCAGGAGTTCGAAGAGGGGACTAGGTAGCACCGTATGTCCATTTTCGAAGATACCGAGCCCAGGGCTACTGAAGATCACGAAGGGGTGTTTACTCCGTACGTCGGTTCGCCCTCTAGGAGAGAGGGCAGGGACTCCAAGGCAACCAAGAGGGGGACCCTCTGGACTCGGATTCGACATGTATCAGTCACTTGAGACACCGTTGAACCCCCTGCCAAGTGATAGACTGACAGGCTAACGAGGAACGGTAGTTGCAGCTTAGTCTGTGCGTTGCAGCCCTTGCTTCACAGGTTGCCGAAAACCTGGTAAGAGTCGGCAGTATCGAAGCCAATTGAATCCGTGGCACAGCACCATCTCGCGTGGCTGATAAGGTTTGCCAGGCACCGCACGGATCGGATGTATCAACTTCCAGACGCGATGCATCCTCATACTGCCGAACCACTCCACTTTCATGCAGTTCAGACTCATTTTCGGGTTCTTCAGCTGGTAATGTGAAGATAAAGAATTTTCTGGATTTCTCCGCGCTGTGGCTCTGATTATAGGACAATGTGGCATTGTTTGGCGGGATAGGCGAGCTATTATTTCCTTTTGCTATCGTCGAGCGCGTTAGCGCCATTTGAATCGATAGCTACTAATTCTCCGATTCCCCCATCTCCTTATTCACCAGTATGGAGTCTTGATACGTGTATCCAGCGATCATGTCGCAAGGGCCCAGCATTGCCAGTCAAGTCGCTTATCAAGTAGTCATCGCCCATGGTTCCGGTTTTGAAAGACATCTCTCGCCTTGTAATTATCCCACAGTTGCTTCAACGCTGGCAGCCGTTATCCGTCATCAACGCACTCCACTTCTTGGGGAATCATGAGCAGTCATCAGATTCTGCCGAATTTGTCGCCCTCGGCCTGCAGTAGACCTGTCAGCATTCACTGTCCACATTCGAACCAGCCTTATCTTCTCCTTAATGCAGCGTGCTCCTTATTGATGGCCTACTGTCAATAATCAGATTCGAATTTCTCCTTTTCATTACCAAGTCACGATGATCAGCTCTCTCTGTTCACTATCGGTCTCTGTTTAGCAGAGGTTATAGGCAATAATATAAAAGCGCGCTCCCTCATCCTTGGGCGCCGTTTGATCAATTGTGCAACCTCAGATCAATAGTGAGTCGATTTGTGCAACATTATGAACCCAGGGGAGTGGTACACGGTTGCGATGATTTACACCATATATCGATCGTGCATCATTAACGGGCGCAAATATTTCCACTAATATGGTAGATGAGATGCAAAGACGTTAATGGAGAACACTAACTCATAACGTCCGGACAAATTATGAAGTCGCAAAACAGATATCGTGCCTGGTTTCGATCACAACGGCCGACTGGAGACCATAAGGTCAAAAGCAGAAAAGGGGAAGTGAAGCCGTCCTCCATAGTAGTACGGTGCGTGGCTGGATCACCTGATTGACAGCAAGCGATCTACGGGATCTTCCCCTGGAGACCACCTTCTTTCGGACGACCACCGAACGAGTGCCTCAAAGTACGTTTAATCGATCTCCAGCTGCCGTCCGAATTGATTTATTTCAATATTAATGCTTCTCGAACTCCTCACCAAAAACATGGTCTTCAATCAATAAAGTATATTGTTGGGCTTGCAGCAACCGCGCACGAAAACAGAGTATGGGAAATATGGCGAACGCACGCAGGCAGTCCTTCATACACCGCAGCGTGGACCCATGAAGCCCTGATATGTGAATGTGGCCACTGCAACCCGCACCATGACTCTGCGTGGCCCCCACTCCTGAGCCGAGACCGCGCTAAGACTGCGAAAGTTGTCGAAGGATTTGGGTCATCCGACCTTATTCGCGATAACTATCGTGAAGTTTCGATTAGAGTAAGCTTCTAGCTCCGCAATTCGGTTTAAGCCTTGTCATCAAATTCTGGACGCAACGCTGAGTTCTTCATAGGGACCTTCGTCAAGATTTTCAGACAATACTCAATGCTCGATGAAGTATGCAAACTACGAAGAGTTTCTTCTGCAATTCAAAGAATTGCTAGCGCTGCTAGTGCACCTTCTCATGTTACCCTCTAAGCCGCGACTAGTCCAGCGGGACAACGAGCTTTAGTATAGAGCCCTCTTAGGCTCGCTCTTAGCCCACTTGTCTAACCAGCGGACTAGCCAAGAAATACGAACACTACTATCCCTAAGCCTAGTTTGATCCCTCAACAATCAAGGCAGGATTTCTGCAAAACATTTATCAACTCATCCAGCCGCTCGTAAACAGCGTTGCGCACTCTCCTGGCCAAAATGCCACAAATTCCTCTTGAACGAACAAATCATCCTACAACCCTACGATAATACTGCTTCTTATAATCTAATTGCGAAAACAATGTTCATCTTCACACTCACACTCACCCTCTTCATCTCTCTCTCCTCCGCCCGCACATGCTACCACCCCGACAAGTCTGTCGCCACCAATAACGTCCCCTGTACGTCCGCTGACACGACCTATTGCTGCGACTCCGATGCGATCTGCATGTCTAATGGCTACTGCGTTGGAGTCGGAGCCCAGCCATATGTTTTTTTCCGGGGCTCTTGTACAGACGAAAACTGGGGTAGCGGCTGTCCGACACAGTGTGGTAAGTCGTCTCGCTTCCTTCCCTCCACCACCTAGTACCTATCACCGTGCATCAACTTACATGCGTACCAAACAGTAAATAAAAACCCTAGCGGCGGCGCACCCATCATCGGAATCGGCACCGACAGCTCCGGAGATGCACAATACTGCTGCGGCTTTCAGGTCAAGAACAACGGGTCTTCGGAGTGCGTGGATGGCGACACAGCGTTTACGTTGAACAATGGGGAGATGATTCTCGGGCGGGCCGCGCTGGAGAATGTGACGGAAGTTAGTAACGCCAGTTCCACTTCGACAACCACGGTTTCCACCGAGACCGTGCTAGCGACCTCGGCGACTTGTTCAAGCAGTGAGAAGCACTGTAGCTCAAATGCGACGGCTGTAGGAGCTGGTGTGGGCGTGCCCCTGGGAGTGTTGGCTATGTCGGCTGTTGTGTGGGCGCTCTGGGAGAGGAGCAGGAGAATTACAGCGTCTACGGCTGCTGCTCCTAACGTTCAAGAGGGGTTCTATATGGACAAAGGACATGTGCAAGAAAGCTATGTTCCACACAGGATGCAACAGGCGCCGACGGAGTTGGACACGCGGGCCAGAATATCGGAGATGATGGGCAGTAGCTATCAACATGCATCCTAGAACAAGATTCATAGGCGTTAATAAGTTGCGAAAGCATGTCACTTTTCAATTGGATTCCAATTCCTAGCACATTTAATCGAATGTGATGAGTCATTACATTTGGCCGTTCAGATTAAGTAGACGATGTTTTGCTTGGCGCCCAAAAGGATGTAGGGAGACGTTTTCCGCAGTGGGGTTGAGGCGTCCAGCTTGTCTATTGTGGGATTTAACCTTCTCCAGTTGTAACATTCCCGCCTCGGCAACCACCATTACAACAACTCAACGGGTATTCCCATTGGTGTCAGCAAGTAACGTAGTTGAGGTCCATACAGTGGAAACCATGAGTTTTTCTTTGTTACACTTTCCGAAAATCACTGCCAATAACCGTTTGGTGTTTGGATTAGGCGACCGCAAGTAAGCACTAAGTGGCTACGAACAGCAACCAAGAGTGACGGCTTTGCCACTAGATCTAGGCGAGCGTACCAATCACTGCGTGCAGTTGTATAGTTTGACATGGGTACTTGTGAGGTACGAAGATTATAAAGCTAACAGTGTGCTCCTCCATTAGGTCTCTTTGTCAATCTTTGTTACTACCATTTTATCTACACCAGTAAAATATATACAATGGCTCTCAGACCGTGCAAGGTCATTATCGCGGGCGGCGGTGTCGCCGGACTCTCTCTGGCACTTATGCTGGAGAAGCATGGCATTGACTATCTACTTCTAGAAGCATACCCCCAAGTCTTGGCTACTGTTGGCGCGGGTATCGCTCTCGCTCCTAATGGTCTCCGCATCATTGAACAGTTGGGGTGCTATGAGGATCTGCAGAAGTGTTCGGAGGGTGCGGACCAAGTTCACTTTCGCAAGCCTGATGGAGAGACGCTCTGGGGGCTGGATGAAGGATTGGCTGAGACGTGTATTGCGAAGTGGGTCCCTCTTGCTTGCTTGGTCACTCAATCGTTGAAGGATTAGGCTTACCAGGATGACAGGCATGGGTATACCTATATGTGGATGGACAGGAAGTCTCTCCTGGAGGTTTTGTACAACAACATTGCGGACAAATCGAAGGTTTTGCCTGGCAAGCGTGTAGCTAGTGTCATGCATACCGACAATAGTGTTGATGTCGTCACAACTGATGGGTCAACGTACTCTGCCGATATCATCGTTGGAACAGACGGCACCCATTCCAAGCTGAGGCAGGAAATGGTTAGATACGCCGAAGACCTAGGGCTCAGCGAGGATTATGCAGAAGAAGACAGTCAGTTGAACAAACCTTCCTTACCCCGCCCTTCCCCCCTTTTCTTTACATGTATAGGATGTGATGGTATCTAACCGATATGGCATAATGCAGAGGTCGCTGCAAGTTATAGCTGTCTCTTTGGAATGTCTGATCCCGTCCCAGGCTTCCCTAGTCGCTCACTTGAATTTGTGACAAATGAAGGCTTCTCATATGTGCTGGGTGCTGGTCCTGCTGGGCGCGTCTATTGGTTCCTGATGGAGAAGATGAAGCAGACATACTACGGTGCCGACATCCCTCGATTCAGTGAAGAAGACAAGCAGCGCACTCTTCAAGAGCATTGGAATGACCAGGTCACGCCAAATGTTCGCCTGTCCGATCTCTACAAGCGTCAGTTGAGCACGATATATACACCAATGCCAGAGTTCGTCTACAAGAAATGGCACCTGGGAAGGATCATTACTATTGGAGACGCTTGCCACAAGGTGAGGAGACCCGGCCCCTTGCTATCAGTGTTGCACCGCGACTAACCAGTTGGCGGGATCGGTACAGGTCCTCCCTATTACCGCGCAAGGGGGTAATCAGGCTTTGGAAAGCGCCGCGGCCGTGGTGAATGGCTTGATGACAGCGTTGTCGCAGGCCTCGGGCTCAGGCCCGCTCTCTCAGTCGGAGATTCAGTTAATGTTTGAGCGAGTGCAGAACATTCGCGAGCCGCGCACATTTAGTATCATCGAAACAACACACAAACGACAGAGATTGGACACAATGGATACCCCGGAGCTGAAGGAGTTTCTGCTTACTAAGTATGCAGGGCTGATGCCAGGGGAGTTGTGGAAACGATGGGCTCATACATTTACCCCGGCCGTGTCTTTGGATATGCTCGATCTGCCTGCTAGACCGAAGAGTGTTCCCTTTGACGATGAGGCCTTGAGAAATAAGGATAGCAACAAAGCTCTGGAGGCGCACCTGTAGTTAGAGAATAAGTGGATAGCACTACTCCTTACTCACTGAATGACATGACGCTTTGCTGTTTCATCGATCTCGGCCTTAGAGAGAATTAAATCCGAAGAGAGAAAGGACGGTTGGGGATGACAGGCCGCTGACCGCCTTGGGGTTCCGGGGATCGCAAGCAAAGCCCCCAGGGTCTCTTTCTGGTTTTCATGATCAGCAGCTTCGTCGCTACGAAAGAGTTCTTTCAATTTCTGCAATTCCTAACAAGGGCTGATTTTCTTTGATCAAGTTTGACAGTCCGCAGTTTACCCACAGCATGATCCCGAATTCCCCTTAATCTTCGGTCCGCTGGTCGCGTTGCGCAGTCAGCCAGCTCGGCACTATCATCCACCCCTACCACCGTGGCCTCGCCTTTCCCCAACCCCGCCGACGAATCCCTCGAGGCTATTTCGGATCATGACATCGGTGTTAATACCCAACCTGCGCTGCTATATAATGGTCAATAGTCATTGATATCGATTATGGATGAACTACCCGACCACCTCAGCCAGCGAGCATCAGACACGATCACCCATGTGGCCGCACCGGGCGGACAGGAAACGCCAGTATCTCCCCGGAAGAGAGAACATGAGAGCGGCATGGATCGCGAAGGTCATAGCTTGGAGGTTGAAAAGTCTCGGCAAAGCAGACCGGTAGATTCGCACCGCGAGGATAAGGAGGATCATGCCAACGGTCCATTAAGCCGAACCATGCAACAAGAAAGATCCCCAACATCGGATACTATGAGTGCTCACGAGCGGAGCAATAAGAAGGAAGCCATACACCGATTTGGTGCGCCTGTCAGCGACCACGACCTAAATAGGTTTCCCAGCCAACCCACGGTGAACGGCGACCAGAAAAGCGGTCAGCCAGCGCTTCCTTCTGACCAGGCCCTAGGGATGATCTTCGAACACTCGTTGGAGGGCTCGGACAGCGCAGATCATCGTACGACATCGAGGACCTCTTTAGTGGATGTTTTCGAAGGTCCCGACGTAGCTTCCGTCGTCCATCGGTGGTCGCAGAACACATCCCCTGTCAGGAACCAAGATAAGGAGCAGGAGCGGGTAGTTAAGCTTTCTCCGGCCAGGATGCAGGAACTCACATCATCCCCTCAGTCTATTCCTTATCGTGCAGCACCCCCGGAGTCGGACCGCGGTCGACGTGCAGTATCAGATGGCATGCATGCAGCGATCTCACCTTCGCAGCCCGACCAATCTGCGACTCTTCTACCGAATGAGCATAAGGTAACCGGCGACAGCGTCCCCAAACTTCGTCCCAGCAAGGATCTAGCCATCGATGTCTCTGCTGCCACGGCAGCTAAGCAACCTGCTCGGACTCGGCCGCAAGGCTCTCGAGCTGTATCTACACCCAGCTCGCGACGGCAAACCATGCCAACGACCAGTGAACGACTGACGCAGACTTGGACATCACGGGGGAAGCAAGAGCGCGCCTCTCTCAGTCGAGAGTCTGATGGGAAACACCTTACCCCGTCGCCGCACATCACTGGCCCTGAGCCTGCTCTACCGTCCCCTATGCCTCCAACCATTCCTCTCCCTCCGTTGTCCGTTCCGACATACCTACAATTAGAATTGGCCTCCGGTCGACCGTCTCCGCTATACATTCACCGCTCCGCAATGAGCGACTTTCCATATGAATCGTCTCGGGTCAAACTTGAACGTCTGATGAACTTTTTGATGCTGCCTCCCGCATTGGAACGAGTCCTCTGGTTTGGTATATTAGCGTGTCTCGATTCTTGGTTGCATACATTCACCATTCTTCCTCTTCGTTTTATCAAAGCATTGTATATTCTTCTGGAGTCATGGGCTGTCAATCTTGGCGTTGAGTTTCGTTATGTGACAGGTTTCATCTTCAAAGGTGTTGGGCGGGTGTGGCGGAGGCGACACCGAGCATCATCGACGGACGAGTCTTCAAAGCTTGCTGACCCTGGAAGGTCCACCTCTGAGAAACAGGAGAACGGATCATTGGAACGAGAGTCTCGCAATCGGGCCACAGAACCGCGCAAGCGCCACCATAAGCACCGGCGGCAGAAGAGCATCCCGTCAGCTTTGATGCCAGATGACAAGGCTGACATTCTTAAAGGGCTGCTCATCATATCAACCTGCTGCGTGTTGATGCGCTTTGATGCGAGTCGAATGTACCACTGGATCCGTGGACAGGCTGCGATCAAACTCTATGTGATCTATAATGTGCTAGAGGTCAGCGATCGGTTATTCGCTGCCATTGGGCAAGACGTGCTTGAGTGTCTATTTTCGCGGGAAGCTCTCGAGCGTCGCCCGGACGGGCGCAGCAAGGTCTTCCGGCCATTTGGACTGTTCTTGCTGGCATTGGCATACACAGTAATCCACGCAACGGCCCTCTTCTATCAGGTGATGACGTTAAACGTCGCGGTGAATTCGTATTCGAATGCGCTCATTACCCTGCTGCTTTCAAACCAGTTTGTGGAGATCAAATCCACGGTGTTCAAGAAATTCGAAAAGGAGAATCTCTTTCAGCTTCTCTGCGCAGACGTGGTTGAGCGATTCCAGCTCTGGCTAATGCTTACCATCATCGCGTCGCGAAACCTTGTTGAGACTGGAGCGTTCAATGCCCTTGGTAGCTTGAGCTTCAGTCTTGGAGGATACACATCCACGGGGACCAACAGCACGCCCCTATCGACTCCTCCCCGGACCTCTTCATCTATCCTGCCACAGGCCTTTACAATTGTGCCATCGTCAATAATTGCGTCCTTCAGTCAGGTGAACACGTATCTGCCGACACTCGCACAGGTTCTGGGGCCGTTCTTGGTCGTCCTAGGGTCGGAAATGCTAGTTGATTGGCTAAAGCATGCCTACATTGGCAAATTCAACAACACGCGGCCAGCCATCTACGGACGGTTTCTGGATATTCTGGCGAAGGACTACTACACCAACGCCTTTGCAGACCAGAACCTGACCCGTCGCTTAGGTCTGCCGGTGATCCCACTGTCTTGTCTCTTCTTCCGAGTCTCCGTCCAAACGTACCAGATGTTCATTACTGCCTTGCTTCCTCAACAGCCCTCTTCCACAGCTGTAGAGGCCACCACCCTATCCGCTATCCACAGCCAGTATGTGCCGGCTCCAATGCCCTCACCTCCTCCATTGACGCTGCGGAACTTTATCCCAACGTCAACCGCATACGTGGGTGCCTTCTTCCGCCAACTTCTAGCCAACACTATGCCATCGCCCGCCCAATCCGTCTACATCTTCACCATAGTCCTCATCTTAACAGGCTTCGTGGTCCTCCTAATCCTGAAGCTTCTCCTGGGTATGGTCCTGTTAGCGTACGCTCGATCTCGATACAAGGCGATGAAGCTGCGCGAAACATCAACTCAAGCCAATGCCCCATCGGCAGCACCTGCTGATGAATCCAACGGGACAGCACCCCGTGGACGAGCATTCGCAGTTGAAGGCGGCCGACGATTCGGCGGATGGGGCGTAGTCGAGGTCAACGATGACCATCGACGATGGATCTATGCGGACGACCCTGAGGGGCTGCGTCGGCTGAAGGCCAAAGAAGAGAAAGACAAGAATACCAAGGAAGACCTGAACATGGATCATGTCCAACGCTACGAGATGGTGGCTAAGAGAATCTGGTAAATGGTAGATAAAGAACTTTGTAATTAGCCTTATGTACATCCTAGGAGTAATTATTATTTATTACACTCTATTCAATGAGTTCTTACCTATATGTATAACGGTGCCATTACTAGTCATCCGCTATAGTCTAGTCAGGCTAACTATCCCTGTTCGGACCATCGGTCACGTTTTAGTTCTTATCTGCTTGCCGAAGTTCCATCGTCCCCTCCTCTACTCTTCTGTGCTTTTGTCCTGTGTAACAAAATCCTTTCCTCGTCCAAAAAGCAATTGCTATTCAGCTCTCCATCATGCTTTTTGCTTCTGGTTTTCTCTACGTCAGCTGGAACGGTCACAAGCCATCACGAGCTCCTATCTATTGCCAGCACCCCTTCACATCATTCGTCAGTTACCGAGAAGTCAACAGCTTAGAAAAAGAAAACAAAGCAGAGAGAGAAAGGTTCATATGTGCATTCTATATGCCTGTTGGTATGTATGTACAGTTATTCATAAAAGTATATGATAATCGCTAATTGTAACGTTGATGAGAACGCCAGGGCTAAAAGTGTTAATCAATCCCAATCATGTTGAAGAAGGAACGTGTTTGTTTTGTGCATGCGACATTGCGCAGATGGCAAATCACAGGTGGTGCCGCAATTCGGACACGTGGTTGCCGTGGAGTTCTAGGTTTGTTAGCATGTCGTACCAGAGGTAGGAAGTGGATGGCGATGGCAACTTACCATTCCATGCATCCAGAGCTGCCTTCTCGGCATCCCAACCCCAGAGGAACTTCTGTGTTTCCAGATCTGTCCACCGGTCGGGGTTCGATCCGCTCTTCAGGGAGGAGCGGAACTGCTCATCACGCGCGCGTTGCTCCGGGCCATCGGGCAGGTGGAGCGTGATGCGGTTTTCCGACCCAGATTGCTGGACAGTGTCTGCGCGGGGTTTCCGTGATTTCTCATACGCTTTGAGCGCAAGAGGAATCTCATCACGGGAGGAGATGGTGGAGAGCAGGACACCAAGGGCAGCAGCGTCTTCGACGGCCTGGGCGGCACCTTGAGCGACATACGGCCTATGGGACGTTAGTGCAAGACAGGCTATCATAACATAAGGAGTGCTTACAGCATTGGGTGGCAGGCATCACCGATGAGAGCGACGGAACCCCTGATCCAGGTCTTTAGCGGGGCGTGCAGGCACAACTTCCACTCCAGGACTTCGTCGTCCGGTACCAAGTCGATAAGCTTCGTCACGCGCCGATCCCAGCCTTTGTAGTTGTCGATCATGGCCTGCTTGGAACCCTTGGTGGTCCACGACTCCTCGACAGAATGGCTGTCTGGATGAAGCAGGACAACGTTGTACAAATCATGGTTTCGCACTGGATAAGCGATGATATGACGGCCAGGTCCGAGCCACCGAGTGGCTTGTGGCTCATCAACCAGTGCCTTCAGCTCAGGATCGTTCTCTAGAGCACTACGGGGCAGCATGATCCGGTAGGCTGCATCACCCGTAGGGATAGCGACAGATGCTTCTTCCAACAAGTGATCGCGGAGGGCAGACTTAATGCCGTCAGCCGCGATCACGATGTCTCCTTTAACGATGGAGCCGTTGGCCAATTGCACTGCGGCCTGGTCGAACTGGACTCCAGTGACCGTTGAGTTCACACGCAGTTCCACATTCGACAGCGCCAGCGCCTGTTCAATGAGGGCATTGTGGAGGTCTGCGCGGTGAATGACAGTCTGTTGGCCGTAGGTCTTGTTCACGGGCAAGGTTCCGAGCATGCTACCATCCTCCCACCGTCTTACATGGATGTGCTCGAGGGCAACATCTTGGGCGTGGATCAACGGAGAGACGCCCCACCCTGAGTCATATCATCAGATGGGGTTAAGTAACAGGAGCAGTAAGGGGCGCTTACGGTCAAACAGCGTCAGCATATTAGGTGAGACTTGAATACCAGCACCAACTTCCATGAGCTAAGAAAGGTCAGTCAGCGAGACGTATCAGAATAAAGCGGTATACGCACCTTGGGAGCGGACTCGAGGATGGTAACATGATGTCCTCGCATACCCAGGGTCAGGGCCGCAGCCATGCCGCCAATGCCTGATTTCATTAGTCACATGCTTCTTTCGCTTTCAGGTCTATGAGACAGAGAGTCCTACCGGCACTATAGGATAATGTCAGCAACAATACATAGTGACTCAGGCGAGACGAGGGTTCGGACTTACCCAACCACGATCACCTGCAGAGGAGTCTTTGCTTGTTCCATATTCGCGAATAAATCCAAAAGGTTTGACAAAGTTTGGATTACAATGAAACAGAACAAAGATGATAAAGGAAGCGGAAAAGAGGGCCGGGGCCAGCAAATAAAGATTTAAAAATTAGGGGAAAAATTCGGAGATCCTAGGCTAAGGGCAAATCTGGGCCGTACAATATCCGTGGATGAATGAGGGTTCGCCACTCAGGTACGGGAGTTGATTGAAAACACTGATTGATTGATAAACTGGCAACAGCAAGAGCAACAACAGAGAATGTCAAGATGGGCAAGCACGCTCCTGATAAAGAATTCCAGAGCCAGGCTCAAACTTCGGTTGTCCTTCCTCCAGCCGGAAATGACGGCAGGACGCGAACCCCCCAGATCGCTTCTCCACCGAAGGAAGCAAGACCAGACCAGCCCTCCACAACCCCGGTGAGTATAGGTCAGACCAGAAGTGCATCATTGGACCATTATTGGGTCCTGAATGGCGAAAGGAGGAGAAGCAAGCCAACTGTCCGCGAGGGTCATGTCGACCCCGGAAGTGGTGGGCGCGAGGCTCCACCTGATACTAAGGATGCATGATGTCAAATTAGTCCGCTGCATTGTGTACAGGAGGTTAGTAAGACCACAGATCTTAGTGTTTGACTCGGAATGGTGTGCGAGTCTGGAGCTGCAAGGCAGGCCAGCGAAGGCGCTGAGGCAGCAAAACGGGCGAATGGCCGAACGGTTTTTCCTGGGGAGCCAATCACGGGACGTGATTTGGGTGTGCAAAGAATGCAAAGCCGGCTGTTCGCCCGCCTTCATTTGCCGGTCTCCAACATTGTTTGTTCACGCCGCCTTTTCTCCACTGTTTCCGTCTTCGCTTCTCTCGCCGCCCTCGCGCGGCAAACGCCTGCCCGTCCCATTGCCGAATGCCCTTCCATAATGCCCTTATTCCAGACTACAATTTGATACTTCGACTATCTACACGGTGGGTTGAGTAGCAGGATCATCATCATCTCTTCTCCTCCTCCCCCCAAATCTCTCTCTGACACTTGCTGTGCTGTTCTCTGCCGGTCTTACCACATGATTGCCGAGCTGAAATGCAACGCTCAGCCGATGCTGAAACTACTGCTAGGTGATGAGCTGCCTAGTGCATACCATACGCAACCCACGCATAACCAGCACCTTCTAGCTTCGCACTATTGTTCTCGAAGCCTACTACATGAGGCAGTGTGATGAGATTGCCTGCAACGGATACGAGGATTGTGTAACCTGGGAATTTGTGTTCTGCGTATGTTGCAGATGCTCTCAACGCCCGAAAGACGTGACCGATATCGGACGATTGACCGCAAACATTATGTTGCGATCTGACTCGACAATTGATAACGAGGTTCTAGGGGGAGTAAACAGGGTCGACTCCCTGCTGAATCCCTTTGATATCATGTAGATAACGACCTGCTCACCATAGACGACCTTGCAGTACCTGCATTCAGAACTAGGTCTATCCCTGCCGTCCAGCGTCAGCGCGTCGGTCGGCAAGCTGCGGAAACAACAACAGCCGCGTATACGTGCTTGACTGTTCCGCCCAAAGTCTATAGTCACCCACCCACCAATCATACTATTGTTGAAGCCTCTTCCAGAATAATCTCCTGCACATTGCTTTGTTCATGAACTCGGCATGACGTGGTAAACCACCAACAGCCAACTGAAGGGCGATCATCTTTGGAAACGAAGCAAATCAGTCCTTGCATGAGCCAATGGGAACCTCACTTGCTGCATAGACCATAAGTATCATATAGACTCACCAACCCCCTTCCCCAAATCCTTACACACTTTCCGGATTATATACTGAAGTCCCTATCCAGGGAGCAGGTAAGGTGAAATCGTTATTGCTGAAAGTCTATAATTAATGGCAAAAAGATCCTTTCCTCATCTTCAGAGGCAATATAATGCCCTTTGCCCAGAACCCCTACGTCGCAGGAGGTTGTCTTCCTCCCGGATCCTCCTGGCATGAAAGCTGGTGCAGAACTATTGACGCCCATAGTTCGTCTCCCAGAGAGTAACACATGCCATGTCAACAATATCCTCAGCCTCCAGTAAACATTGTATTGTGACCGAATCTTTCCATTCGACTATTGCCTACATTGATTATTGATGCAGTCCGCCTAGATGCGGCAATCACCGGGGCCTATAATGCAATGCATCAAGGCAGGAATACCCAGAATCACACTGCTTGAAGAAGACAGATGGCCACTGCCAGCCTATAGAGAGTAGTAAGCTTACAAAGATATTACTATACCAAGCACTACTACCAGTAGCACCACACCTTATAACTCATATCCAGGGCACCATTGTACCCAGTACCCACAAATACTACATTAGCGAGTATAGATAAGAAATGCCGTATATCCATCCCATCCTAATACACACGACTTGCCAAAACCACTGACTGTACAAATAACATGTGACTATACCGGCAACAACATCAGCCGAAGTACATAGTAGCCCCACTGCCCACTAGTATTGCTGTCACTAGACTACGAGTACTAGTGTATATTAGTTCCATAAACCATGAACTTACCTCCAGGCGGACCAAAATTACTACGCTTGTCTATCAGATCCAAAATTGCGGTCGTCCTCACCTACATTTCGTTAGATTTTGGTGGCTGGGATGGTGCAGTAGTAACTACCCTGGCCGATAATGAAGGGAGATCTAATGGCAGAAGACTCCATTCATGTTCATTATATATTGTATTACTATATTTTCATTCTGCAGTCACTAGTACAAATGATTACTACATCGGAGAAGAGACGGTGGATATATATTAAATACTAGTAGTATTCCAACTATGATTTTAAAAGAAGATTATGAAAACACGATTCGGATATAGTATCTCTCAGCTATCTACCGCTGTTTCCATATCGTTAGAAATTCATAGTTCTGATCGATTTTCATTCCTTTCTTCTGCAAATTACAACTAGTTATATACTTACGCGCAGTGTCCCAAGGAATAGAAAAGACACCGCTAATATTGTAATTACTAGAAGTCTGTATAGCCACTTACAATACCATCGGTGGCTCAACCGGACTATAATAGAAGTAATGACTATCTACTAATCAATCATTATGCTTCCTTTCCGGTCTGGAGTAGCATGATGTCACCACTACCTACTGGCAGCCTATCAATATCTATATAATCCCAGATAGTAGCAACGATCTTTGCAGATTCATACCGGTCATTTCTTGTTCCGCTCCTCAGAGAACTGTAAATCTATTGAAACTACCCATACACTACTACACCGAAGTAAGATGTTCGGTCGTACCATCCCTGACGGGGAAGTGATCAATTTAGGGTGGAAGGTATCGATGACTCGTCATGATAGAATGGAACAACATTCTCAACCGTTGCGTGTAAGATACTTGACTTGTATGGTGCGTATAGGGTGAATAGTAGTAGTAGTAGTAGTAGTAGTAGTAGTAGTAGTAGTAGTAGTAGTAGTAGTAGTAGTAGTAGTAGTAGTAGTAGTAGTAGTAGTAGTAGTAGTAGTAGTATGAGTGGATGAAAAACATAGAATTCTGCTACTATAACACTCAGAGTAAAAGTTGTTACTGGCAAACCTCTCAAAAAGTTATGTATGAGAAGAAACATAGAAGGAGACTCAGTTATACTATAAATTTTCATATTCAGTATCAACTTTTCACTATCCTGAATGTCCCATGGTAGATTGTCACAATTCAAGTATATGCAGTTTGGAAAACAAAATTAACATCAGAAGCATTCTACATGCGTAAGGAGTGGTATCAAACGCCAAATGTGCAACAGTATCATGTCAAATGATAGTGAGGAGAAAGACACAATTCACCACCAATCGTAGGTCAAAGAATGAAGAAGTTTCGCTAATTCTAACTGCGCCAAGCAAATATCCATCCTGTCGTAATGTAATCCGAAACCGGAATATACAATATTATATACATGTCGTAAAGTGTCGATCTGTCGTTAAGAAAAATATAGACGTAGTATATCAAGCAGTGAACATCAGACGCAAACGGCTGGATCGCTTCTTCTTCTCCTTCGGCTTCGGCTCCATGTCTGAGTAACGGGACTCGGCCTTGGAAGGTGCGTAGGAGGGCGCCCTCGACGGGGCCTTAGATGGCGCTTTAGAGAAAACTTTGGAAGGTGTCCTCGAGCTGACATGCGATTCTGGTCGGTGGTTGGCGCGGGAGCCTTCACGATGGCTGCGTGACCGACGAGATCTGCGAGAGGATGCCATCGACTGGTCATCATCGTCGAACTTGAACCGAGGGTCCCGTGACATTCGTGCCGTAGTCACATCAATGCCTGACATTGCTGCTGCTTTGGGTGTGATGAACTCTCCATCGACGGATGTGCCAACACTGTCGGCCTCGGCATCTGCTACGCCGCGCCGCCACATCTCGACAGTGCTTAGACATTCAGTGTTGAACTCCATCATGTCATCCATGCCCGGATCTTCCTCTGGAGCCGCCGCTGCCCTCATGGGACTGTTGGGAGTAGCAGTGGTGGCGTTTTGAATCTGCTTAACGATCTTGTAGCCACCAAACATGACAATCGTGACTCCGATACCAACACCCGCTGCGATCAAGAATTGTGGGCTTGCAAGCAGGGCGAAGACAGTAGGGGCCGCAGCCTTGAGGGTGGAGAGCGCGGACGGCGCCATCTTTGTGGCAATGTTGCTGATCTCGGCCAAGGTGAGCGCCACAGCAGCCATGGCATCTGGGTTCTTCTGGAGATGTGCGATCGTGGCGGTCGCGGTATGTTGCATGCAGTCAGCTTCCTCTAAGAGCCACTGCGCCCGATCCACAAGAGTATTCAGTTCCGGGTTCTCAATTCTCTGGAGCTGGTTTTGTGGTTCGGGGGGTGGTGGCACTTTCTCCAGGGCCGAAGGGTGAAAGTCGCCGTATGCTAGATCCATGTCGACATGAGCATCGGACTTGGAGCGGCTGGTTGTTGGTCGCTCTGGTCCACGCATGGCGACGTCATGGGTAGTATGACGGCGGACCATTTCGCCTGGTCGAACAGCATATGGGTCTGCATAAGGATCCTGCCATTGCACATCTTCTTCATAGACCGAGGGTTCACGAGCGTAGTGGCTGCGGCCTGAGTGGTATCGTGAACGGCTTCTCCGAGAGGATGCGACTGAAGGCGCATCATCGATATGGTAGTTCTCAAGAGCCCTCAGTGCCTCCTTCTCGGCAATCTTGGCGTTCCGTTCCGACTGAAACTGAGCTTTGCGCTCGCGGTAGGCATTCTTGGCTTGACTGAACACGCCGAACAGGTGTTTGCTCTATGATCCATCATATGTCAGTATCGTGAGTCGGTGTTCCGGGGAGTATGATCGTATACGTACCGTGCTCACCACCTTACCAGACTTGTCAATCACAGCGATCGTTTCGCCCAGAGGAGCCATGATGACTGTGTATAAATATGTGCTTAACACTCTGTCACTTGATCAGAGTGAACGATGTCAAATTGACCCTTTTCTTGCTTGTGAGATGTTGCCCAGTGGACATTCAAATAGGATCAAGCATCGATAAAATGATGGGTTGGCGATCCACAAAATCCCGAGCGTAAGACCAGCGGTGTAGCGCAACCAGGCGAAAGTGTATAAAAATGGAATAATATCGACACTAGTCGAGTCGCGGTGGAGATTTGGCCCGATCTCAAAGTTTGCGAGACTAGAGATCGAGGTCCAGGCCTTGATGACGACACAAATCACTGAAAAATCAGGGACCTGGGCAACGCAGATATATAACTGCGCTGATGGCAAATTTGAATAGTGATGCCTGGGGTCAAGGTTCACAGTTCAGCTGTGGTTGTATTCGGAGTTTATAAGGAGAAGCACGATAAGCTGCGGAAGGGTCCGGTACGGTGCAACCAACAGTAACTAGAAGCTAGCATGCAGGCGGATGACCACGCCACAGAGGAGATTTCCACGCTGACAGATAAGGGCAGCGAAATAGAGTACAGAGAAGGTACAAGGAACCAAAAAAAAATATGAGGGGGCTGGGGGATCTAAAAGGACGCAAGACCGGCGGCGGCGCCTAAGATGGGCATAAAGCAACGAACAGGGGGGAAGTATCCGCCTTGCCAATGCAAACCGGTTGGGTGTCGATGAAGCTGGGAACAAGGCAACAAATGCGCCAAAAAAGATTGATTTGCTAGATCCGAATGGCTGCACGGATCCGTGGGGACTGTGTTGCTGTCACCGCACGATCCAACTGAGGGGACGCTCCATTGGCGGGGGAGGCGCTTGGGTACTGACGTGGGAGGTCAGAAAGTCGGAAACTACTTCTTGGGAGGTGCCTTGGGGGGTGTACCTGACGAAGGATGCAGGGAGAGACGGCAGCACAAGTCCCAGTTGGATGCCTGAAGACCCCCTCAGCCTTAAGGGAAGGAAAAGAGCATGGATCATCGCTGCATTTCTTGGGAAAATTTGATCAAAGCATGACTAGGAGGGACAGGGGAGGTACCCGTATCTACTTAGTCCGAAGTGGAACTATCGCTCATACTAACACCTGGATTGCCTAATTAGGGAAGTCCCCGATTGTGGGTGGAGGGAAGGAAGAAAGGAAGAGGGGAACGGTAGGTGCCTGAGGACAGACGGCAGGAATGGCGGTGATGTTGCAGCTCGTGATTGGTTAGTTATGGCACCGCCACTGTGGCTGGTGCATCACCCACTGAGGAGTGTCCACGGGTTTTCCGGTCAGTAACATAGTATTATAGATGGTTATATTCTTTACCATACACACTCTTCCTACTTCGAGTCCTTACTACTACCACCACCAGGTAGTAGATACCCCAAGGCTACTTACAGAGTATAGGCAACAGCTACTACTTAGTAGTGTGGTCGCATTTCTCAGGCTTATTTTTAGTGGCAATCGCCACCCACTACTGTATTCTTATATTAAACATAGATGAAGATCGAATAGCTTGTTTTTCCAGAGACTTCCCGCTTCTCCCTTTTGTTCACACAATCAATAGGATGAGCCAAAGTTTTCCCATAACCCCTGTCAAGAGCTGAACACCTTTTAATTATGGCGACCCAACTAACGGGCTCCGACAGCTCGTTCTTTATCTCCATCTGCAACCAGTCGTTGATAGTCAGCGCGCTGAATAAACCAAGTGCGTCAGGACGCGTTATCAAATCCCGACCTCCCACGTTATGTATCTAGTCCGTCTGTCGCAAGCTGTGGTCACACCTCTACCCCTTAATTCAGACAGTCTCCTATAAATGCCACTTCCTTCATCAGGACACGCATATGCCTTCACCAATAAAGCCAACGTGGACTCGCTGAATGCATATTCATGAATCATGTCGCAGTGCAATACTGAGACTTTGATAGCACGTCTGCTTTTAAAACCTAGGTTAGTAATTCCTGTTCCCATATTCGAGCTCCTGCATCCCTGCTGGGGGGCCAAAGAGGCCAGAACAACATGCCATGTAAGCCGGGGGAAGATCCCATCGCTCATTGACCGCAGGGATAGGCGTTGCTGGAAGCATCCCAACTATACACAATCACAGCCAGGTGAGTCGGAAAAAGAGTTTAAGACAACTGAAGTGGATGTTCTGTTCCGATACGCTTGCACCGCCACAGTTGGGGGACGCCCCACCTTGCTGGGGCCAGCAATTTCCTTGGCGCGTGATTGGTCCACCTGGACAACCTTCACCGGGTCGATCACGACATCTCTGGAGGTGAAGCAATTGTGTTGTTTCACCTCTATCGACGTCGTGTTGCTTCCTTCAGCTTCACTCCTCCTTCACCCCATCTCCATTGATGCTAATTAGCCCTGTTCTGCATTCTTCATTGTCTCTTCCCCATACCTTGCTGCTTATCCACCCGCCCCATCCATTCAAGCCTCACATATTCGCATCAAAGCACATCACGTGAATCCCACCACTGAGCTGTCAATTCAATCGAAAGAGGAAAGCATAGCTGAGATCTTCGGCTCCATTGCGGGAGCAATGGAACACACAGTACTTGTAGATTCTGATAGCTCATCAGATACCGATGACCAAACCAAGGTCTGGGAGTCCGATCCTCGCTCCGTGACGGCTCATCTCGCTCATGACTCAGCCCACGCGGCATTGCCGGCGGAGTGTGGCATCGGCCACCGCGTCCAAGCCAGTCGATCCGTCCTAGCCCTGGTTTTGGACAATGAATGCGTCTTTGCTGGACTTCAGGGCGGAGACATTGTCGTACGTGGTACCTTGACACCGCAGGACTCCACCCACTGACTCATCATAGGCATGGTCTTTGGAAACATACGATCTCGTCCTTTCGGTACATGCCCATCAAGAGAGCGTATTAGATCTATTCCTTTCTGAGGATGGAGAGCTTCTGTTCTCCAGCGGGGGTGATTCAATCGTCAATGTAGCTACTTCCGTATTCTTATTCATGCGTCTGCAGTGTTAACAAGCCGCAGGTTTGGTCCACGAGGACCTTCGACCGCCTTTACTCCATACATTCCCACCATGACGTTGGTGACATTTTTGCTGTGGCCTATTCGTCTACTCGGAAGACCATCTACTGTGGTGGTCAGAATACCAGCATTCAGGTAATTAATTGGTTTCATATGATGGTTTGGCCCCTACTGACAATAACAGTGGTGTGATATATCACAAACGGATGCGGCTTCGACGCAACGCTCGGCCGCTCAATTGTCCCGACGGACGCACAGATTCTTCGATTCCAAAGGCCCTGATGGTTCCCGTGCTCCCAGATCGGACCCGGGTGCAGATGGCGTACACCCGGGCGGCCAAGTTCTCACCTTCAAGCGGGATCATCACCGCTTATTTTCTCACCATGGCTATATCTACACCATGCTACTGGTGAGAGGGCTAATTGAACAAGCACCCACTGAGGAGGTGCTTCTGACCGGTGCGGGCGACGGAGTTGTGAAACTCTGGCGCTTGGATCAAGCCAAGGACAATGCTGTCCCTTCGCAGATTGCGAAGCTCCAGAACGGAGATCCGGTGCTCTCAATCGCTGTCGAGGGCTCATTCCTCTACTGTGGTTTGGCAGGGGGCGCCTTGAATATCTGGAACCTGGACTCCCATCAACTGGTGAAGAGGATTTCGATGCACACAGGTGACCTATGGGCTGTTGATATCATTCATGGTGTTGCAGTGTGCGGAGACTCCAACGGTGTCATTAAGGTAGGAGCTTTGAGCCATGACTTGGATATACGATACTCATTGGTTTGTAGAAGTTCAATTCCCGGTTCGAGGAAATCGGTAGCTGGGTGGCCCACGGAGGCACCATGTTGGCATCCTCAGCCGGTCGCTTCAAAGATCGGTACATCTACGCCAGTGGAGGAAATGATAACACTGTCGGTATATGGGATTTGACCGATGTGTCTCGAGCGCAACCTGAGCAGCCTCGCATTAACAACGGTATGATTATGAGTGATTGGCATAGATCACGCTTACTAATTCTGCATTGTACAGATGAGATGGTCAACTGCCTAGCCAAATTCGTCGCATACAAGACGGTCTCTTCTAGTCCGAAATTTGCTGGTGAATGCAACCAAGGTGCTGCATTCCTACGCCGACACTGCATTTACCTAGGTGCCAAAACGAATCTGCTGACTACTGGGGCGGATACGAATCCGATCGTGCATGCGCGGTTCAACGCCACAGCCCCGAATAAGGTGGACAAGACGATTCTGTTCTATGGACATTACGATGTTGTTGGAGCGGATGCCAACAGGGATAAGTGGAATACTGATCCATATCAACTGACCTCCATTGATGGCTTTTTGTACGGACGTGGCGTGACGGATAACAAAGGGCCTATTTTAGCAGCCCTGTATGCCGCGGCTGACCTTGCGCGGAGAAAGGAGCTTCGTTGCAATGTCGTCTTCCTTATCGAAGGTGAGGAAGAGTCTGGATCGCAGAACTTTCATGAAACGGTTCGTACACACAAGTCCCAAATTGGTCCGGTAGATTGGATTCTGCTTGCCAACAGTTATTGGCTGGATGACCACAACCCATGCCTGACTTATGGCTTGCGTGGCGTTGTTCATGCCAACCTTATCGTGACCAGTGATCATCCTGATCTTCACAGTGGTATTGATGGAAGTGCACTGCTTGATGAGCCTTTGAAAGACCTCACCATGCTTCTGGGCACTTTGGTCGGTCGCAAGGGTCGAATCAACCTCCCCGGATTCCAAGAGCCGGTCCTCCCGCTCACCGACGCGGAAAAGCAACGCTATGCCGCGATCTCTGACGTTCTTCTGCCTCATCATCCCGAAATTGCGGATAGTGATGCGCTGATCAAGTCGCTCATGCACCGTTGGAGGGAGCCGTCCCTCACAATCCATGCAGTCGAGGTACCTGGAAGCAGTAAAAGCGCAACCACGACAATCTCCCGCAAAGCCAAGGCTAGCCTTTCGATTCGACTGGTGCCGAACCAAGAGGCAGATGAGGTGGCCACGAACCTGACTCTGTTTGTGCAAGAGCAGTTTGATCGATTGGAATCGCAGAACGATCTGACCGTCGAGATCACGGGCAAATCGGACCCGTGGCTGGGAGATCCCGACAATGAAATCTTCGAGACCTTGGCTGAAGCAATCACCGCTGCCTGGTCACCAACAAACAAGCCCCAGAGATATGCATACCCTCCCATTCAACGGGAGGCGTCAGAGTCAACAACTCCTAAGCCGTCGAAGGAGCGGCCCAGCCTTCAGCGCAAGGACTCCGGCGATAGTCTGGCCTCTCACATTGACCGGATCATCATGTCGACAACGACTTCCTCGGCGGAGAAAACGGCTCGTCAGCGATCATCCTTGAGCACGACGGTGCCAACATCTTCGACGCTGGCCAGCAAGTCGGGGGCATCTGTCACCGATGAGCCTGCCGGCACATCAACCCCCGAGGCTACCGGGAAGAAAACGTCCAGTTCGGAGGCGGGAGGACGGTCTGGTTCCAGCGTGCGGCCCATCTATATCCGCGAGGGTGGATCAATCCCGACGATACGTTTCTTGGAGAAGGAGTTCTCTGCGCCGGCGGCGAACCTGCCGTGTGGACAGGCCAGTGATAACGCCCATTTGTACAACGAACGGTTGCGGGTGGAGAATCTGTACAAGAGTCGAGAAATTTTCGGGTATGTATTTTCGAAACTGCCAGAGCGGCTGTGAATAGTTAGCTGGGAAGAGCTGGGATAGATGTGGCTGGTGATGGCTGGACGAGGAGTATTATAATGATATGTTAATGGGGATTGAGATGGCGTTTGCATATAAGCCTGGCTGTTATTGTCCACTAAGGTTCCACAATCATAATGAGCATGCTTTGCTTTGGCGATTTCCATCCAACCACCTATCTACTACTGTATATGTACTAGCCACCCCACCAAAGGGATGTCGGCTCCAAGAAATGAAACGGGGGCTGGTTTCCGAATTGGGCAAACATTGCGGACCATCCGTTGGTCGGGGATTAAAAATAGCGGCCGTCATGCAGGTGATACGCCTTTCCCAAACCGGCAACTGCGATGTTAATCCACCGGCACTGACTTGGTGCGACTTCATCTTGCTTGTCGCTTGGTAGTACCTAATACTACGCAGTGCTACTTGAAACTAAATGGTTGAGTCAAGATACTACGTACTACTACTGATTGAGCAAGTTGCTCCTGAGGCACTGACCCACGTGTCGCCTTACCAATGAAACATTTTCTAGCCTCGCGACGGTTACTTTTGAGTACTAAGCTTTTCTTCCTAATGACGTCTCTCTCTCTCCCTGCCGAGCCTGCGACAGTCTAATCCCTACTTATGCCCATCTATCCTTCAATATGTACACAGTACCATGGCTCGCCAAGGGTCACGGCCCATCAAATCCCGATGCCGACCTCCTGACTCTCATTGCTTCTAACCCCCAACCCGGGTTGCATCGGGAGCCGCTCACTGTGGCTGCTGATGGTGGAAACTCATCCAGGCATCCACCCAACTCAGTTTCATCGAATAAGCACCGCGCTATGCCGATTATCGTTTATCCACCTGGTCGGCCCATCGTGTCCAAGGTGCCGTTAATGCCCCAGCCGGCTGGATCGCGCCGCAGCTTCGTCAGAACCGTCAGACGGAAAAGCTCCGGCTCGTGATCGTTGGTCCACTTGTCTCACGGTGTACTAGTATATAAAGTTGCCAGTGGTCGTGATACTTTCACTGCTGGCTCGCCCGCCAACAGCAACAGTGGTTAAGCACTTAGCCTGTCGCTCTTTGTTTACATAGTTGTCCTTTCACCTCGGTCTTATACTCCTTAGCGTTCATTCTCACTGTCAGTTCGCGTGTTTGCATCTGGTTCAGTCCCACGTGTCCATCACATCAGTTTATAGCGACATCCGGTCGCTCCCACCATGGCGGGAATTCCGTGGAACTCCATTCACGTCGGTATCGCTATATATTCCTACTTCCGATCGACATTCCGGGACTTCCTTCTACTCTCTGCAGTCACCCTCGTCCTGAGAATATTTTACCGCCTGGTGCTTTATCCTGTCTACTTCACCCCGATCAAGCATATACCAACTCCTCCGGTAAGCTCTCTTCTCTGTCTCCCTAACTATGGAGACTTCTCTAATGTGGCTTCTATGCAGGGTCGAGCATGGTTCACCGGAAACAATGGCTCATTCGTCTTGGTAAACCCTTATGACAGGATGCGTCGATGGAACCAGGAAATACCGAACGATGGCTTGATCAGGTTCTACTTGGGGGGCAACCTCGAGCGAACGATAGCAACAACCCCCAAAGCCTTGAGCGAAATACTTGTCCAGAAGGTCTATGACTTTGAGAAACCTAAAATCGTCCGGCGATCTCTTGGCCGCATCACTGGGGAACATGGCGTGCTTCTAGTAGAGGGTGCCGAACATAAGGTGGGTCGGATGACCATTGATTTATCTTATCTACATACGTTATAACTGATTTGGGTATCGTTCAGCAACAACGAAAGCTGCTTATGCCTGCGTTCTCATATCGCCACATCAAGAATCTATATCCGATCTTCTGGTCAAAGGGCATTGAGATGGTGAAATTGATTGAAGCAGACCTGCAACAGCGTGCTAACCCGACAGACAACGTCATCCGCGTAGCATCTTGGAGCAGCAGAGCAACACTTGACATTATTGGTCTTGCGGGCATGAACCGCGATTTTGATTCTCTCCAGAATCCAACCAACAAGCTGGCAGCCGCATACCATAAACTCAACAGTGTACCTCCCACGCACTTGGAAAAAGGCCTCTTTGTTATTGGACTCCTTCTCAACGTCCCTCACCTGGTCCACAAGTTGCCATTCAAGCGCAACCGTTATATCAGAGAAAGTGCGGCTTACATTCGGAACGTTGCACAAGAAATGATCCACGACGCTCGACAGTCAATTGAAGGCGAAAAAGCGCATCAAACCACAGACGCAGTGGACATTCTCTCTGTAGCAATAGAGAGCGGCGGTTTCACGGATGAGGAGCTCATCGATCAGATGATGACCTTCCTCGCAGCCGGTCACGAAACCACCTCGGGAGCACTGCAATGGTGTGTGTATGCCCTTTCCAAGTATCCTGACATTCAAACCCGCCTGCGCGAGGAGATTCGCGCCAACTTGCCCTCTATTTCGGTCGAAAACCCCGAATCCATATCCGCCGCCACTCTCGACTCCCTCCCTTACCTCCATGCTGTCTGCCAGGAAGTCTTCCGCTTCCATCCTTCCGTACCGAACACTGTTCGCATCGCCAATAAAGACACCACAATCGGCGGGCAGAGGGTTCCTAAGGATACGGTAATTCAGATTGTGCCCGCGCTGACTAACCACGATAAATCCCTTTGGGGTCCTGATGCGGACCAGTTCAATCCCGACCGGTGGCTGGGCCCCGGCAAGGCCAACACCGGCGGTGCCACCAGCAACTACGCATTTCTGACATTCATACATGGCCCTCGCAGTTGCATTGGGCAAGGCTTTGCCAAAGCTGAGCTGGCTTGTTTGCTGGCCACATTTGTTGGGAAATTTCAGTTCGAACTCGAGGATCCTAATAAAGAGCTCCTACTCCGTGAAGCCGCAACAGTGACCCCGAAGGACGGGGTCCTGGTAAAAGTAACGCCGTTAGAGGGATGGTAAAATCATAATGATGCTATGATACCTGCGACTCTACATTTTTCGGCTTCGTTGTATATTTCTTCGTTTCCCACAAAACCTGTGTTGTCACCGCAATTCTTTCAATATAACTAGAGCTATCGACTAATTTCAATACTACTAGCTATGATCAAGCACTGGCCTTCCTAATTTTCTCACCAAGATACTCAGCCAAAACCAGAATCTTCTCCTCCTGAAGCCGTCTTCCAAAGAGCTGGATCCCAGCCGGCGCCCCATCAAACACGTCCGCATCGTCTAGATAGCAACATCCAGTCAGCAAATAATCACAACCTCATCGACAGCAAACAGCCCCAAGAGAAAATAAACAGGAAAAGAAAAAAGGAACTTACACTCCCCCTCCGTCCTCCTATCCAACTCCCCAAAGTACTCCCTCCCCTCCGTCCCCAAGACATCCACCCCCCGATCAGCACACGTAACCGGTACAACAACACTCGTATAATCCAACACATTAATAAACGCCGTATACCCAATCGTGGCATACTTCCCCGGAATGCACGCCGCATGCGGCGCCACCGGACAAATGACCGCGTCGACGGGCCGGCCAGTCCCCGTCACTTGCGCCGTGCTGTTCCAGTAGTCGAGGTACCGTTTCTGGTATTCGCGCTTCTCGACGTTTAGGGCGGCGATCTCGAGTGCGGTCTTTTGCGGGGATCCCGAGGTGTCGATTACGACGGAGGTGTGGATTGTTTCGTTGGAGAGGGCGAAGTTTTGGAGGACGTCGGCGCCGCCGTCGAGGTTGTAGGCGCGGTTCTTGGGGTGGTTAGTTGGTTTGTTGTTAGGAGGGGTGTGGTGAAGGATTGATTGGGGGATGAGGGAGGGGCTTACTGCGATGGACGCGGCTGTTTGGTGAGAGGGGGGCTGCCAGTCGATGAGCTGGGATGGGTATTAGCAGTGTTGCAACTACGAAGGAGGAGGAGGGTACTTACCTTGTGTCCTAGACTCTTGATCGTCTCTGCAGCGATGCGCATCGCTCTCTCGACTGGTGGCTGTGGCTTTACCAGCCCATCATCGTAGAAAATTCCAAAGGCTAGTCCCTCTGGCTGTCCCTGCACCAATTTCCTCGTCTCTTCTACGATTTCATCTCTCCAGGGAATCTCCAACACACCGGGGTCTCCTAGCCACGGCTTCGCCGCCAACACCGTCTTGAACAACAGGACCAACCCTCTCGCCGACGAAGACAACGGCCCTACAACCGACAACACTGTATTCTGTCCTTCTCCAGAGTTAGCCGCTCCCTCATACGGCATTCTCCCTACAGACGGCCGTATTCCATATAGTCCATTAAACGACGCGGGAACACGGATACTGCCCCCGATATCAGTACCAAATCCTGCCGGTGACCCCCGCAGAGCAATCAGCGCTCCTTCACCTCCAGAACTACCCCCGGAACTGAGAAGTCTGTTCTTGGGGTTATGCGTATAGGTTATGATATTATTCATAGTTTCACCTGACATCAACGTCATGGGGACACTAGTCTTGCAATAAAGAACTGCCCCGGCAGCGCGGAGTTCTTTAACGAGTTCGCTTTCATGCGTAAGATAGCGCGGGTCGTCAGTCTTGCCTTGGAACGTGTTAATCCATCCAACGTAGCCCATGGTTGTTTCCACGCCCTTTACATGGAATTGATCCTTCAGACTGACGGGCAGGCCGTGAAGGGGACCGAGTGGTTTTCCAGTTTTGGTATAGTGATCGTCGAGCACACGGGCGGTTTCGAGCGCAGCGTCGAAGAAGATTTCGTGTAGGCAGTTTACCTATGTTCTTGTTTAGTTGAGAGAAGAGAATACTAGCACTCCTCGTGAGTAGGGAATATACAAGTTGATGCGCCAACGCTGCGCGATGGCAGAACGCCTCGGTAACCTCCACAGCCGTCCACTGGCCCGTTGTGGTGCGCTCTGTGATCCCTACGGCATCTGTTTCGGTGATTTCAATCTCGCGTGGGGATAGGAACTGCTGGATATAGGGGCCTGTTACGTCGCGCTGCTCCGTCGGAGAGGGGATGGGGCCCTTGATGCGCCATTTCTCGGGGATGGCGGCGAGGACGGATTGCCGTTTGGTTGCTGCGGTTTGTTCCCAGGGTGTGAGGGCCATTTTGGAATCGTAGTGGTAGTTGTTCTTGTTGTTGGGAGGAGTGTGTGTTTAGGAGTAGGATGGTGATGGAAGAGGGGGTGGACCA